CGTGAAGTGGCGGCGAAAAGTAAGCTCCAAGTATAACGAGGGGCTCGGACACTGGGAGCCGATTCCAATGCGCATCAAAGCGGAAGCGCATGTCATGGTCATCATCGAAGCTGCCGAATTCGTTAAGCTCGTTCTCGGCCCCGAAGGCCAAGATCTCGAAGCTCACGTTCTCAAAATGAAGACAAGCTTCCCCGACGGTACATTGATCTACTTGATAGAAGGCCTCACACCTTGGATGCGCAAGAACAAGAATATCCTCAATCGGAGATTCGCATCGGCGGTTCGTGCTCTCGACACTAATAATGTTGCGGAATCTACTTCATCTAGCCAGTCCCGACGCCGGAATAACGCCCAGCAAGAGTACATCGACGAAGATATCATCGAGGACGCGCTACTCTCTCTTCAAGTCGTCCACGGAGCTCTAATCCACCACACGAACGTGCAGGTCGAAACGGCGGAGTGGGTCGCCGTATTCACGCAGCACATCAGTACAATCCCGTACAGGAAGGCGCGGGACGCGGCCACGGACGCCGGGTTCTGCATGGAGGTCGGACAGGTGCGGTCGGGCGAGGGTGCTAAGGATACCTACCTCCGCATGCTGCAGGAGGTAACGCGCGTGACGGCGCCTATCGCATTGGGTATCGCCGCCAAGTACGGCACCGTGAGCCAGCTTGTGCGCGGGCTCGAGGAGAACGGACCGCTTGTGCTCGAAAATTGCCACAAGTGCGCCAACAGAGACGGCGCTTTCTCAGATCGCGTCATAGGTCCGGCCATTAGCAAAAGGATTTACAAGATCTTTACCAGTCAGGATCCAGGAAGCATGGACGTGTAAAATAGACACTTAGGTTAGGTACTTTAGATGCCTGGTATTGTTTAGTGAGTTTTGGTTTGGAATCCAATTTACATGTTACAATGCAATATCGTTTATTCTCAAGAATTCCGGGTCAGCTGGTGACTCTGCGTCTCAAGCGCTTACGTCCGTCTGGGATTTTATGTATACGGCGCCTGACAGCGTGACTATGGGGTGGCCGCATTACAACGGCCTGCATTAAGGCAACCAACCTCCCACCAACTTCGGCCTGGAGGGAAGGATTCTCATAAATGGTTTAACGGTATGTCTCAAATTATACTTTTATCGTAAGTTGTATGTACATAATATGCGCGCATGGTGCGCTTCTCCCCCGCCGTGTACTGACTACGGCTAATTGCCCCAGATCTGTCGGGGTAGGGGTTTGTGCTCAGCAGCAGAGGGCCAAAAGTAAATGTTGGCTCTCAGGACCACCGGTAATGCATTAATGATCGCCTGTAGTTGTGGTGTTTGAGGACTCCATGCTAGCGAGCGATTCCGAGGATTTCTCGAGCTTTGATAGGCTCTAATCTCATAAGCTCTTAGCAGCACGGGTGTCTAAACGGCCCACTTCCATTAGTAGGCGAAGTGCTGATGGTGAGTATTAGCTCGGCTCATGGTTTGGCTATCAAGGCTTCAGGCGTAGCGAATCCTGTCTTCTTAGCCTGGGCTGCGAGGTGTTTGAGGTGTGTTTCGGTCAGTAGCGAAGGGATGGCGTTTAAGGTGTTCTCAACCTCGGTTCTTACACTATCTACCGAAGCGAACAAGGAGTTGTGATGACTATCCCCATTTATCTCAGTTTCTATGAGATGAAGTTTCTGAGCAAGAGTTGATATGCTGTATGGAAGATCGGTTAAGGACTCGGGAAGAGGCCAAAGCCCATGGCGGTGAAGCGCCTGGATAGTTTTCCCTAGTGTAAGAGCCAGGCATCTGCGTTTGTTGAAAGAGTCGCATTGCCTGCAGAATGATATGTCGTTCCGGACAAGACGTCCGATAATATCATTCAAGGGCTTAAGAAGCGACGTGATTGTGTCCAACCGGACTTTCTCTATCCTCTCTAGAGTAGAATTTCATAAGCTATAAGAAACGCAATAGGGGTTAGATGATTAGACATACCATATATTCCAGGTGGCTCCAATGCCCCAACGTAACGCAGATTGTTGCCTGCCGAGGCGGAGCTGTTCATGAGCATCCCCTTCGCCATGTTCTCAAAAGCAACCTGGTCCCCAAGCTCCCACGAAATCCACAGTCGTTCGTGGCAGAACTTGGTTCGCAAAGATTGGCCAAGCTTTTCGCATTGGTTATGCGTAGAGCGCGACCAGCCTTTAGCCCACGGCCGTAAGACGTGGGTCATGTCGTATTTATCTGTCAAGACGCAAAGGTTGTAGAAATGCGTCGTGTAGACAAAATCTTCATAACCGGGGACCTTGTCGAAACGGCCGTGGATGATGTTGAGGATGATTGTCATGGCGGCGACATTGTCCTCGGGTAATTTTACCACCCAATCCGGTTTTCCGCTCTCCGGTTGCGTCTTTTTGCCTTCGGCAAATCCTCCGTAGAGCATCTTCTTGAAGAACGGCGACGACCTCGCCATAGTCTTAGAACACACTACAAACTCCGTCGCCTGGGGACCCACGGTGAGACATAAATCGCCATTTGGATCGGCATGGATCTTAAACGGCCTGGGAGTCGACTCTCGTTCAGAAGTTGACTGTGACTGCGAAGTAAACGAAGTAGCAGGAGTCACAGTGCCGCTTGCTACAGAGCTCCTTGATATAGAACTCCTTGATCGTGAGATTGGTGAAGGGCTGGCCGGGGTGGTAGACCTTCCAATGCTGAAAAAGCTTAGTTGTGGGTTGGTCGGATTCCCTGACTGGTTCGTTTGAGTTGCTTGAGGCGGAATGGTTTGAGGTGTAAAGCTAGGGAGGTTATTGGTAGTTTGAGGAGTAGTGGTACCAAATAAAGATACCGGAGTTTGAATGGCTTGCTTAGAGCCTCCAAATAGAGTCTTATGAGACCTTTTGTGTTGAGGAGTTGTGGTTGGAAATATGGCGCTATTTCCAACTGTCTGCTTAGGTGTTTTCGTCTTCCGAGGTACGCCAAATGCTGATGTCGATTGGCCCGACACCGTAGTTGAACTTCCCCAGAGGTTTCCTGACGTTCCAAACGAAGTAGGGTGGCTCACAGGAGCTTGGCTCACAGGAGGCTGGCTCGCTCCAAAAATGCGAGGTTGGGAATCCATTGTCATCGCATTGCTTGACTAAAAGCAAAAGCCCACGGAAAAATTCTTACGCGTAACCCCAAGTTTTGCGCTCGCGTCTAGCTGATAGTAGATATAGTAGATCGACTCGTACCAAACTTGAGCTAAATTGAACCAGATTATTCGCTAACCAAGCTTCGGTATATGACCCAGATAAATCACAAAGTAGGTAGTTTGATCGCAAATGTTTTTCTTAAATGGTCATGCATCAAAGTGGCTTCCGGTAGCCGGTAGGGGGTAATGGAAATCGATGTCCACTTTACCGCCAGACGCATTGACCACTTTTCGTGTTCTAGCATAATCAAATTAAAAAAATGAAAATGAAAATGAAGGTATTTTAACTTTCAACTCTGACAAACAGGTGCCCATCTTATAAAATCATAAGAACAAGAACCATATTATATATAATACACCTGGCACCCGCTCATGTGCATTAGTTGGATACCTCTATCATCTGCATTTGAACCCCGCCTCACGCAATAACAAAGATTCAAAAGATGATGAGATAGATTGTGTATCCGGGGCTGGCGGGGAGACACGTATGGTAGGTATCCATACAGTCCAAGTCGAAATACCAGCACTGTATCTGCAGATATGGGGCCAGCTCAATTAATTAAGACGCGTCGTGACATAACCGGGAACTATTTTGAAGCTAATAAAGGAAATTAGATGTGCGATTTGCACATCCAATTCTGCGGAGGTGGCGGGCGTGCGCTGGCATGAATGAGCAGTATCTAGTAGTTTATGACATCTCAATGTTGTCCTAAGAGGTGGTTTGAAATGAGACATTAAAGGTCAAATAGGAATAACGCCATATAGTATCCATGATGTGATTGGTGAGATTATATGCGACAACGTTGTATTCGTTAGCCTCATATAGGTATAGGTATACGCCTAGACGCCATGAGTGCGATAAGTAACACTTTAGGCTTTATCAGGAGCATATAGGTCAAAGTACATTGTTACCACTCTAAGAATACATCGCTACGCCGCTTTCAACCATTCGAATGAAGCTATGCCAGTATATGCAAGAAATGCTTAGCGCAATGATCAGGACTGTGTTTAACAGCATCATTTCAAAGTACCATTAACTTTCATATTAGTCATATTGAGCAGCGTCAAAGATGACTTTTGTCAGATATCTACTTCGGTAGTAATTGGTCATACTATCTAACACGAAGCAAATACCAACAAGTCCTAAGTGATCCTTACAGACTACTAGATATGTAGTGTCTATGAGAGTTACAGTACCTTTAAAGCCATCTCATTTTATCTCTAGCCGGATTTTTTTATTTTTTTTAATCTGCGCAAACTTTACAAGAGTCTCGTAACTCGAATAGCAGCGTCTACCTTGGCGAACTTGTGGAAGGGCAAATGACCCCATCAAGTAGTATGAAGAACTAACATATACCTAGAGGTATAATAAGGTCTAACTGATGTCGCTAACTAACATATATGCAAATACTTGAGACCATAGCAGCTTCACAATTATATATATATATATATATATAAGTCTCTCGAGTATGATACAACTAAGAGTTTATCTAAACATAATGTGGTGGGCGACAAACTATGGAAACGCAATTTGACGAGACTTCCAGCACAGCGACGAAACAACAGGCAAACGGGCAGGTTATGAAGCAAGCCGAGATCCTTAAGAAATAATACTGTAGTTTAGTAATTACACACGATAAAATAGATATCAAGGCCTATAAGTCTATAGATGACCCACTTACGACATAAGGCATACTTGAAAGCCTCTTATTATGCCTTAGGTAAGCTTGTATATCAAATACTACTAACTATTGGCCATAGGTGCATAAATATCATGCACATGCGGCCGTCCTACGCCCCAGATTGCCTATAGCCTTGTGGCGTAGACTGCTGCTAAGGCTTAGAGGATGCTAAATCACCGTTCCTGCCTATATATTCTTCTCCTTTCTTATACCATTTCTCTACCTAATGTAAAGCTAGTTTCCAAGCAGTCGACTTTAACCAGGGGAAACCCGTTGGGCACGCCTTTTTATAACGAGTAGGAACCATTATTATTAACTCCCGGCAGTGCTTCAGTAAAAACCCAAGTCGGACCATTCTTTGGTTTAGTAACAATAGCTTTCAGCTAAGGTACCTACTACGCTATGTAATAATGTCTTCTATCGAACTTGTCGATATGGATACAACCGAAGAACATCGACCAGAGAGACAAGTTACACAAGGACCCCTCGAAAATTCAGTTGAGTTGAGGGAAATAGAAGTTTTTAGTAAATCATCTGAGGCGACAGACCAGAGTTTAGCTAATAGCGCTCTATCAACAACAGCAATAAACGGAGGATCAAAACGGCGGCACTGGTTTTCTACGTTAAACCTCGGAGTCTCTGGATACATTTCTCTCATATCTCTTACAGTATCGGTTATTGTTGGTATCGGTGCAGGACAAGCAACAAATAGGAGTAACAGTATCGGACTGGCGAGCTACGAGGTATCAGCATGGGCACTATGTAGTGATCATGAGGCGAGTAACCACTTTAGTCTATTTCTTCTTATTGAACTAATAGTAAACCGTAGGCGATTAAGGATACTCCCCAGTGTAGACAAATCCTCGAAAGCGGCGTCGACAATATTGCCCTTGACAAGAGGCAAATTGGGAGTACATCATTACACGAGAGGTCTCATGCTAGTGGTGAAACGGAACCTGTTGAGACTTCAATATCATTCTCCTATGACCAACACAATCCAATAACACTCACAACCTACTGTGACGAGAGAGAAACTTTGTTCCTGAGAACTATCACCGCTCTTTGTCTCATCCTACTCGTCGTTACATACACTCTCCCATACGCAACCGCTTACACGGCCGCATTTGACGAAATAACTACGTTTCTGGACTCTGTCGACTTCTTGATCGTCGAGGATAAGGTATATGATAGTATTTTTGCCAGGGTGCCAAGGCGGGAAGACAAGGTGCGATTAAGCCGAATAATTACATCGCGAGATCCAGAAAAGCCGCGATGATCTAGGAGAGTACCTGGACCGTCTTTTTTACGTCAAAGGCAGCCAGGTATTACGAATTCCACCGCGATTATTTTGGGCTGGCTACAGGAAACAATTAGAGAAAAGAGCGCGACGGCTCGATAGGCTACGGACGCGTTTCTTAGTCGTATATATGGACGTCTTTGCGACGACGGCGGAAGGCAGTACATATCTTCAACACCAAATACCTAATTTAGGTATATTCCGACCAGGCCAACCGAAAGCATCAAGCAAAGACAAGGCGTCCCATTAAGCTACATTAAAAATGATAGAAAACCATAATAGCCGTCTCAAATACCTCTAAGTGGCTAATACTAACAATAACGGACAAGAAGGGGAAGGGCTAACATTGGATTTGATCTGAACTAGGCAGTTTTCACTTTAGGACGACTTTCCCAACTCGGACAACTTTCTCTTCGGGTTGTGGGGTTAGAGAAGTTTAATTTTGGTACTATATTTAGCCCTCATATACGTAAGACTATTAAGTATCGCGGCTAGGGAATATAATTGTCTTTGATGAGGCCCGTGGCCGTAACATGAACATATACTATATTCAGATTCCGTACGACTTGAGATGGAGAACGAAAGGTCTGTCATGTAGGTAACTAACTGTATTATCAAGTACAGCTAGAATTATCTTCGGCAAGTTGAATATACACAAAACATAAGATAATGGTAGTCGACTCAATTAGACAACTTCGAGGTAGACTTAAATCTAGCTAGTCCACGATGACCACCACCGGGTCTTTGCTGGCTCGGAAAATACATACATTGAATCTAACTTACATACTATACATGCCATGTAATAGTAAAGGCCCGCGGGGCAAGCGCATCATCTAATAGTAAGGGTTCCATATCATCATGAACCCGGATAACATACTCAACAGCTTCGAACACCGGCAATTATTTGTAAATAATAGCCGGCCCTACCTTCGAGTCCTGCGTGAAAGCTACTAGGACGCGTCAACATCATATTCTAACATCATTAAACGGCCGCGTGACGCCTATTAAGCGCTCTTCCCCATTCGTGGCTTCTTCTGCTAAGAGACTTCTTTTCCTTCTTGTCCTGACTTGCCTTGCCCTCCATATTTTCTTTCTCCTTATTTTCCTTCTCTTTTGCCTTCTCTTGATTCGCATTGATTGCATCTTCGGCATCTCTAGCAGCTTCACCATCTGCTGGGACGCCATTTTCGACCGGGGCCTGTAGCCAGCCGTTTTTCTCAACTTCGATGATTTTTTCTATAAAGATGTCTCCCATCTTGAAGTAACCCTTGTCTGTAGGGTGCATATCGTCAGGTCCAATATCCTGCTTCACGACGCGATTCGGTAGACCCTGATCATGATGCATTTCAGCCATAACCACTGGCTTGCCCTCCCGAATAAGGTCGATAGCCACCTGGCGTATCTGGGCATTAGAGCTCCTGACGCAACGTTCCGTACCTTCCCACGGGCTCATTATGATAGTGGACATAATAATGGTACTTCGCGGCGAGGCCTCGAAGATGAAGTCAACTAGATCGCGCATTTTCTGGAAGACATACGCCGGTCCCCAATGGTCCAACTGGAAACAATCGCTCGATCCAGCATTTATTATGACCAAGTTCGGTTGGGTCTGAGGTACAACTTCTTTAAGGCGATCGAGGGTCGGTTTTATAGGTTGGGCACCGAATGCTTGGACGTCGTTGTCTTTGAAGTCACCATATCGGTTCTGAAAGCACACGAAGGGTTAGCATAATAGAAACATTGGACGGACCACCAGCTACAATTGGCGAAGGGGAAAATACCTGGCCGACATAGTTGACGGGATTGCCTCTAGCAACCATCCAGTCGCGAAGTTGCTTTCGGTAACCGACTTCGCCAGTCGAGTGTTCACCGAGAGTCATAGAAGCGCCTATGAACATGACACGAAGAGGAATTCCGCCCGCCAGAGGGCCAGTGTCGGAGTGTGTAAGACGGTTCCACCCATCGCGTGCAACATCGGGATTAGGCTGAAGAAATATGACTATATTGGCCTTCTGCGTCAGCGTACTGGCGCGTGATGCGCGTGATGCGCGTTGCTTCAAGAAGAATCGGCTTACCTAACAAGAAAATAAATAGGCCGGACACAGATATCACCTTATGGAGGTTGGGCAGCTGCTTCCAGCGCAGGTAAAGCGCGGAGAAGGGAGAATTCATAAGCATTTTGGCGAATGGTCCATTCGCTCGACGGTGGTGTAAAAGAGTGAGGTAAAGAGTGTATTGCTCGCGCAGTCTTTAACGAAAGCGCATAACGGCGCAGAAGAAATCCTGATGAAAAAGAAGATGAAAAAGGACACCACGAAGGATACCTACACCAAGAATATTTCAGGTAAGAGCTTGGCAGGGGCTTCTCGACGTTTGACAACAACAACAACGCAGAACACGAAGTGTTTACCTTACGCAGCCTACGCAATAGGAAAGAAGGAAAGAGATCCTTATCCCTGTCTATCTGCCTTTTCCGTTAGTCTCCAAAGTCTCCAAAGTCTTATCGGTAACCTTATTTGTCGAGAGTTCGAACTGATTTAGTTCAGACCCTACGAAATCCGCTAGAGTCTAGCCCAACAGGGGTATTTACATAAAGTATTTAAAGTTAGCTTGGTCTTGGCGCTATCTGACAACCGGGTCATCGGCATCGCCCAAGCGTAACGGGATGCCCACTGTGTAAATATAAATAGGGGATCCACTCTGTCACCCAGCAGCTTTTAAGTTGGGAACTTATTCAATTCATCAATCTCGTCTTGAAATAAACTATGTCAATAATAACTACCTACCTATGTCAATCCATAAGCGACACTATCCAATTTGAGCTCCATTTTATTATATAACGTTGATCAATATACAGTAGAAATAAAACAACTGTGGCGTAAACCCACGAGGAGCATCACCAAGAGACTAATATCTCCGTATCGTCTTGAGATGAGTCGCAAATACTCTCTATGCCGTGAATGGGACCTCAACCTTCGCAGCAGCGGCGTTCTTGTCTGCCTGAGCTACCTGGAAGGCGTTAACAAGAGCCGGGTACCAGACGTTCACCATCTTATCATCGCCCGAAGCCTACAGTAAAGAGGGTCAGTAACTACTTCAACTAAGAACTTCAGAGTCTTCCAAGGAAGCTCTATAACAGATATGACAGAGGACAAATGCTGATACTACTTACGTTGGGGTGTACACCGTCGCGCAGATCGCTGGTGCCGCTGAAGCCTGTATATTGGTCCACGACCCAGATGGGCGACTCGGTGGTGTTGAGGCCCTGCGCCCAGGGGATGATGGCCTTATTCAAGTTCTGAATCTGGGTGTTGTAGTTTCCAAAGCCCATGGGGATAATTTGAGCGACCTAGTTGGGTGAAATTAATAACTACTAGTACTTGGGAAAGCAGTGAGGCAGGAGTCGATAGGAAACTTACGACGATCTTCGTCCTGGGGTTACTGTCCCTCATCACGCCGATTAGGGTCGTGAAGGCAGCAATGATATCGTTGACCGGCTTGTTCTGCTGCACGATGTCGTTAGTGCCGAGATGCATCGTGATAACATCCGCTGGGTTAGTCTGGAGCCATCCGACAAGTTGTTTCTTGTTGGCAATGTCGATGGCCAGGAAACCCGAGTGGCCCTCATTGTCGCGATCGTACGTGCTGTCTCCGCAGTTGTTTTCTCCTTTTCCGGAGCCAACCCAGTCTACGGATCCCCACTCAGTAGGCTTCAGCTTCTCCCAAAGCTTTGCACGCCAACAGATGATCTCGGTGATGGAGTCACCAAACGGCATATACCGGAGCGTGGCGTTCTGAGCGATAGATGCGCCCAAGAGCGTAGCAAGAGGGAGAAGCTTGTTGCAGAGCATCGTGAAGGTTTTAGTTTGAAAAGACTAGGGCTTGGAAGTGTTGATACTGATGGTGTAAAACCTTTGACTTGATGATCGTCCTTGGCCTAGATATTATACTAATCTCTGTATCCTGGTATGCAGACTAACGGAGGTTGAGGTTCTACATCGTGGTAGCCCTGAGTCCCTGCCAAGAACGGCTAAATGAAGTTGCTGCATGCGTAAGGTACGTACGAAATATTAATATAGGCACTTGTATAGCCTCCCGCTGCGGGCACGCCGATTAGGACTCTAGCGGAATGATTAATTCCGAACCCCAGAGGATTGTGTGAAAAGCTTCCTTTCAGCCGGGTCCTCAAGCACATGGCTTCCACGTGGAATATAGTCATCTACAGCGAGGATGATACGCTAATCGTCGATTCGAAGATCGGGTTGACGTCCGGAAACGGGATTGATGATGTATTCATTTGATTTAATCTATCCGCTTGAAACCCTACTATAACTTCAACCCGCCCATTTGCTAATTCCAACGCACTCCCACGACTCCCATATTAAATCGCACCAAATTTAGTATCCCACGTGGCTTCTCCAACTATGATACTTCTGAAACCCCGTTATATTATACAGCTGCAGGTAATATGAGCGGAACTTTTGTGTAGATAGGCTGGTTCTGACGTATATGCTTAGAAATATACCTACATGACTATATGAAAGTCAAGGATTATGAGTTCGCTAAATACTACACATGCACTTAGAATGTTCTGGCACAATTCCTAAACGAGTTAAGGCTACCGGGGTAAAAGATAACTTAGCAGGTAATATATACGTTATACTCGTAGATATTACCTACAGTGTTCGAGTAATCAATCACTTCATTCTATACGTTGGCTTATAGAAATCTTGTTATCCTATGCAAGCGAGGTATCATACTATCTGAAGCTAGACTACCTATGTAGTAACTATCTCGGCTACAAATGACCCATATCTCCTCTAACATATCAAGAGTCCCCGTAAGAGTAGCCGGACAGAACAGATGGTTGTATATCATATATCCTGCATGTTGTCACATTGCCAATATCAGCTATCATGAAAGCCAAGTTAATGGTGTCTGGTTTCATCCATGCTTAGTATAATCCGATTCAACCGGCGTGGTCTATCCACCATCGAGAGCTGATCGACAGAACACTCCAAATTGCTAGACATATCCGCTGAGTACTATAATAATATAAGTTATGCAGCTACATATCAAGTATGCATTGATCCTTGATGTCCACGTGGAGGTTCATGCGATGGGCTTTGACGTAGCAGCCTATAGCCTTTACGGGTAACTCGCTTGTCATCACATCATATCGAGGTTCCTTATTATGATATTGACTACGACTTTATGTAGGTACAGCGGTACCCACGACACTAAATAAGGAACCTAATCAAGTCGTACGGGAAGGTAGTAGAGGATGACATGTAAGCTAGATTGTCGACTAGGAGAGTTCTATTCCTCGATACCTCCTATTCGTAGGGGTCATAATAACTACCTCACAGGTAGGTATATATAGATGCCGGCGAAAATAAATGATTATTACTCGTGGAAAATACTAGTGTTGGGTGCCCCAACCTTCCTTGACTACAACGGAAATCTCTGACGATAACTGTCTAGAATCATAGAACCTTGTAGCATACAAATACCCAAATTATAGGTATGCTTTAGCCAATAGGGGAGGGGGGGGGGGAGCCAGAGCTACTGTAAACTATGAGAAGTACCATAAGAGGTATCTCTCCGAGTAGATCACTACTTACAAAGAGACAACGACATTGAATATATCACCTCGGCACATTACACTTGGAATAGGGCTACATCACAGTAACTTGGTTGAGCTACTTCTGTCGTAGGCCCCTCACTATAACTACCACTGTAGTATCGTGGCCTCATCGAGTATAAAACCGGATAGGCTTGAGCGGATAGATCTGTTCCTACTAGGCTTTCACGTTCGATACGATGACGCCCCTTAACTATTACAGAAAGACCCCTGATGAGGCAAGAACGGAGCGCTCCTAATCCCGCCTGGATATACTCGGGATGTGCTAGTGCCTGTCTAAACGAATATATTGTATCAATTATCTTTAATATATCACTGGCCATAGAGAATTCCCCATCGGCACCTTAGAGATGACAGCGAGGTCTAGACGCACTATATGTAAATTCCAGCGGGTGTTTCTTCCGAGGCAATCAAAACACTAGGCCTTAGATACTGACGGACACTTCGTATGTAGGCATACTCAAAGGAGATCGTCGTTCCCAACATCGTAAGGGGTAAGAAGTTGTCCGTTCGTCCGGATACTGCATGATCGAGAGGTACATTAATATGGGCATATCTACAGCATGATACATTGAAGCCATCCCAAAGGAAAATCCCCAAGCCGAGGTCAGTTAAGTTTTAGGATAGATAGTTCCCCCTTGCCCCTCCCTCCCCCTAAGCGGTACGGGATGAGCGATCCTAGACTTGATTCCTCATAGGTCAGGTAGTATCCTCACACTAGGACCCTACATCCCCAACTACTGTATCCTAAGGTCTGGGTGGATGTTATCACCCAGCGTATGGCTCCGAGGGTAACCCTACCGTCATACTCGACGCTCGTCCAACTAATGTCTGGTGTTCGATAGTAACCCCCTTTTCTGGTAATTGTTACTAGTCTATGTAGTTGCCGCGTAAATGATAGACTGATCGATTTACAAGCCACATCATAACTACCACCTAAACCTAATGGAACCATTTATTCACTACCTGATCGTAGACATAACATACGACCTGACTAGTCCGCGGTCTCTCTTGGTGTAAGCAAACTGGTCCCCCTCCCCCGTGCTAAATTTGTGTATATGTATACCATAACACTAGTACACCCGGTATACGCGTATAAACTTGTGCGGCATGCAAATAAAAACCCCTTCTGGATTACTATCTATAAAGTCTTGCTTCATGATCCTGTGACCTCGTAGCTGAATGCCACTATACGATATATCAGGTCAACTCAATATAGATGCTCAACAACCCCTATTCGTCATTTACATACCGAACCCTTACTTGGCTAAACATGATTTCTATATGAATATCCAACCCCTGAGTGTAGAAGGGCTAGGGAGGGCTCTGATAATGCCCTATAATTTTAGAGGAGAAACGGTATATGTTGGAATGATACGATATGAACTAGCTTAGTACCACTTACAAGGCGGGGAACACTAATAGTTACCAATAAAAAGTCTCTCTCCTTTCGTGTGTTCTCTTCTCCATTCCCCCTAAGTTAGGCGGGGAAGAACGACTAGGTATGCGTACACAACGTCAAACGGTAGCTATTAGAAAGCAAAATGCTAGTAATACAATATCGACCCTAGCAAGAAAACCAACGCCATCTTACCGTCTAATAGTAATAATAATAATAAAACAAGGCTGTAGAGTTAAAGTACTTGCAGACGGACAACCTCATAAAAAATGAGGCTCTCGCCTACCAAAAAGCAACGTGCACTGCCTACCCACCGTATATCTCCGTAGCTGACAAGATTGGCCCGCCCCATATTCTCCACAACTAGTAGAAACTCGCACGTTTTCCAAAAATTTCCAAGCATACATACAAGAAGCGGACTAAGTTCGTACGCCGCATATGCTACGATGACAGGCTTGCAACACGCCGAGACCCTTTTTTTTGTTTTTTTTTGTTTTCGGTGGGCGGAATGGAACGGGATAGGGCCGTTTGCCAAATAAAGAGTCAACGGGGGGCACATACCGGTGAGTATGACTCAGGAATTCCCCCCTCCCATCGCCCCAATCTCACCTTTTCAAGGTGCATAGCACACGACTGATGTGAGACCGAAGCTTGCTTACCACATGGCAGCCTGCTCGCGTCCCGCACCCGAAGGACAAGCCATACCGGAAATTCTAGGCAGGCAGAGGCTCCAGTTACAACGTCGATGAGTGATCACGCATGAATGAGGCTGCATAGGTTTGCACCTCGTAGACTAATATGCTGCTCCTATCCCTTTTGGTAGGTGTTACATGCAAGTAAGACGGCGAGTGATTGGCCATGACGGCATGTGTTCAGCTCTTGGAGCTTCTGAAGATGACATAAAACTTGAGGCTATGTCTGCGAAATAGGTCTAACTTTTTTTACTTACTCTCCTAACATATGCTATAAGTAGGCGGAACCTCTAGCTTAAGTTACGATATACTGATTATCCGTACGCAATCTCGAGTATGCCGACTGAACAGGAAAAGCGTAGGGCGGTGTTAGCTTCGAGGGGCCAGGGTCCTATGTTCTCCCCCCCTCCAAGCTCTCCGAGGGGTAATAGTGTACACGCGCCTCTTAGCAAGACCGCGCCGACAAAACCGGAAAATCCAACCGGTAGAACCGGCCTACCTACAGGACAGCCGTACCACGGTCAACCGCTTGAGGCTGCATCCATCTTAAGCCACCCGCGACTACAACAGGTGACAGGCCTACACCCGCGGAAGGTATCTTGGTGGAAAGGTGTTCACCCCCCAAGAGACGAGCTAGCGCGCCTCCAATGGGTTATGAACCTGCCAGACGCCTATCCCGTCAAACGGCCGAAAGGGAATTTCTAATACCGCGGGTCGCAAACGAAGAAGAGATGTCCAAGATAATCACTACTCAATATTTCTTTTTGCTGAATGCCATTCTACACTCACCACCCCTATATGCCGAGGTTGTGCTTTGAGGTATCTAAAAGAAGAGAATAAACGCAGGAAGCAGAATATACTATATACAAGAAGTTCGCAAGGTCGGGCGCGAGGATAGGGACCGAAGGGGAGATACGATGATGCTAAGGCGCGCAACAACTGTAGGCGGCTGGTCGCTCAACCAACCATTGACTTTCCGATCTCGCTCTGCCAGTCTTTGGCCCTCTCGAACCCGTTCGTGTGGAATTGGTAATCTATCAACGCCTGTCGCACATCTTCGGGGGAGTTCGCCACGAACGGGCCGTACTGGACCACCTTCTGGTTCAGGATCTGGCCGGCAACTATGACGAAGCGCGCGTTTTCCTTTGCGCTCTCGGGTACCTCGACATTCACCACGTCGCCATCCGGCTCGAATACACAGTTGTAGTACTGCGCGACCGTCTGCTTCTTGTCGCCGGAACCGAACACAGCGGATCCTTCTAGCTGGTACGAGAAGGCATTCCAGCCTTTGGGTAGAGGTTGAACCAACTTGCTACCTGGCTGCATTTCCACGTCGAGCAGCCAGACCGGAGTATAGGCTAATTCTTTGAGGCTTTCGACGCCACCAGCTTGTCCTGAGATAACCTTGATGCGAATCTTTCCGCCGTCCAATTCAGCGCTCGGAATCTCGTCTTTTTTCAGATCGCGATATCGAGGCTCGCAGGCTTTGAGGTGGGCGGGTAGGTCGACCCATAATTGCAGGCCGACGTTTGCGCTGCCGTCCGGGTTCTGGCGCGGCATCTCGGCGTGCATGATGCCACGACCCGCTGTCATGAACTGCAAGTCACCAGCCTCGATGGTGCCAGCATGGCCGGCAAAATCCTCGTGGTCGACACCGCCCGTTAGTAGATACGTAATGGTCTCCTGCCCGCGATGTGGGTGGTCTGGGAAGCCTGCGCCGGGTTTGATGCTGAAGTGGTCCAGCATTAGGAAGGGCGAGAAGTTCCGTAATTGCGGCGTTCCTACGCTTCTCCTACTAATAGTTAACTTGCCGTCCGGATCACGTATTCGGCGCATAGCCGTTCTCGGGTCTAACTGACCTAACCCTAGCTCCAGCTCCTTCGGCCTGTTCGACCGCTAGGAATACCTTGCGGATTGCACGCGGGACAGACATCTCAGTTACGACGAGTTTCTCGGATGGGTTATAAAAAGGGGCTTCGGATTCAGATTCGGCGGTGGTCGATTTGGTTACCGTATCACTGTTGGTCACGGCGCTACTGCTACTTCTGCTGTTGTCGTCGTAGGTCTTTAAAGTCTCTAACACGGAATTGAAAGTCGTTGTAGTCAGGTCGATAACTCGTTCCCTAAAGACAACTATAGACAGTATGGCTATAAGAAAGGAAAAGGCGACAGTCCTCATGAGGGGCAGAATGTTAGAGCCTTAGAGGGTGTCTTATGTCTTATACGGGATCGAACAGTAAGACTGAATCAGGTAGGTCGCGAATCAGGGACGAGGGTGGATGCATTATGTAGGCTAGCTAGAAATATCACGAAGATTCGCCCGATCTTGTTTAGTTGACGTTGATTTTTTTTAATAGGGGGGGAAGAAGGAAAACATCACGGGGAGGGAAGCGGGGCAATTAGTTGGTCAGCAATTGCCTTACAAAAAGTGAAAATTCCCGACGGTAGGTACCTACGTTATGGTGGACCATTAGTGCAACTGTGCCAAAATCAAGAAAATCGGTTGCACTATGCCTAATAAGGTAATATAATAAGCAACGCTAAGTGCACAGTACGCTATATACAAAATAATAAGGTTTATTATTATTAATTCAATCTTTAATTGCCTTATACACAACATACAACACATTCAAATAACTTTACGAAAACAACACTTTAGGCGTTACGATTGGTATCATATTATAGCCGTAATTGATGCGAAAATAATGGACCAAACTGCATGTTTATGCGATGTATATTGAGTATTATATTGCTATTAAAGTATCTGGAGTCTGTTTGGAATGACTTTATCGAGTTGCTTTTAAAGGGTATCACGTGCTTGCCTCTCCAGACAAGCGCTATTTGATTCTACTACAACACAATAGCCAAGAGGCCGATTCAAATGCAACTTAAATTATTGTTTTCGCATCAATTAAGGCTATAAAACGATACTAATTGCAATGTCTGGATTGTTGTCTTTGTAAAGTTATTTGAATGTGTTTTGTGTTGTGTGTTGTGTGTATAGGGCAATTGAAGATTGAATTGATAATGGAATCTTTTAATTTGATTGGCTGATGTTGGAGATTAGTCGGATATCAATGCTTACTAAGGCAATCTGATTGGTTAATCTTTTAAACCTTTAGAGAAAGCGGCTTGTATAGCTACGTTTATAGCCTTTTTAATATTTTTACCAGTATTGGGTCAAATCATATGCAACCTGGACCATAATTTTTGTTATTTATCAATTAAAATATTAATGCTTTTTTAGAAAGATTTGGATAAATATTCGTAAAGTTATTGTATTATTAGTCTTAAAAAGGGGCATGTATTACTTTGTATATTATGTATACAGGGCAAATAATTGAGTCTATACTGTACCCTTAATGTTACTATTACCTTATTAGACATAGTGCCACCAATTTTCTTGATTTTGGCACAGTTGCACTAATGGTCCACCATATACGTAGCATCCCCGCCACCAAGCCTTACCAACCCGTTACATCAGCGTCCATTGCCGCGTTTCGAGCCTGCACTTGACCCTAACAGGACACGGCTCCAGCGCTGACTGGCCGCTAGCTATGGCTGACTTAATTCTTCCAAATCTCCAAATTAAATTTCGCACCTCCGAAACGCCGTCAGCCCCGAATACACTTGCTGCTTTGAGAATCTCCTCCGGCAGAATGGAAGATCAATTGTATGGGTGGCCCGGCTGATGGTAGTGTTTTTGACATATTTTCCCTATTATCACAACCGTGGCCATTAATAACATCAACTTCTATTATCATCATAAAGGCGTATTATAAAGTTAAACAGACCGCCAGTTTGCTTACTACTGCATCATCGAAAGTCTACGGTATCTGATCGACGTTGAAATAAAAAAAAGATCTCATTAGATTTCAACTTCATAAGGTTCGACTATACTGAGGCTATAATAGATTGCGGATACCTCGCATTCCCAATCTCGAGTCCGAGCCTATTTTGAAGCAGTGGCCCTCCACTGCTGGATCTCACTCTCACTAATCTCTCTCAACTTATTAACACCAGCCGGTTCGCCCGTGACGGTACCCTTGGCGACCTCAGCAGCCCTGCCTATTACCGTCTTATCTGTAACAGCATATGTGATGGAACTGGTCTTGACTTTTAGCACAGCAATGCGCGGATCGTTCTCGCTTCCGTCATGAACGCCGTCACCTAGGTCTCCCATCCAAGCCTTGAGCGTCGGGCTGTAATACTTCTTCACGACCTCCCGGTCTGTCTCGATGCTCGCCTCGCCCGCGATTGAGGCCCATTGGCCCGAGTTGTCGTAGAATGAGATATTGGTGTGCTTGTCCGCGCTCAACTCGTCCGTCTTGTGCGATTCCGTGTTTGTCGTGAAGGTTAGGTCGATATCACCGCCTTCCTGGGGGTTGGGATATTACGGTTAGTTCTCTGGGCACCGTCTCATTCTAACTTAGACGAACAAAAGAGTACTTGAGTACTTGGACGTGATAGGTAGATACTATCTGCGGGGACTCATTGCTTACCTTTCCTGCGACGGCCATGCATCGAGAGACCAGCTTTCCGCTCGAGGGGTCTCGCGTCGTCATCATGCCGAACTTGAACGACGACACGAATTTAGTTAGATTCTCAACCTTCTCTTTTAGGGATACATCTTTGTCGATATTCTTCTCATAGTAAGGTCCAGACGGCTTGTTACCGGTATTCGTATTTGAGAACGACGACATCTTGCGTGGGGGTTGGTGGTTGAAGGCAATATTTCCAACACGTTGCTGTGAGGGTTGAGTAGATGTTGAAATATATGGTTGATCTGTTGGTTTTCCGAGATGATTTCTTCTACTGATGGGTCTGAGTAAAGCTCGGTGGGAGATGATAGTCTTTTTAAGCATAGCTCCTCGTCTTTATATCGACTAGACCAATCGCTACGTGCGGCAAAGTTGGTTCATCATGGTTCATCATGTCTACTACTTATTGCCCCGCCACTTGGGATTATTAGCTTAGCCTAGGTAGGTTTGTTTCACAGATATCATCATAGAACTGGTTTGGGAGAGGTTGTTGGTCTATGAGATGGCTGTTCAATATTATGACGTCGTTGATGGTTAGAGCGCGTCACGATTACGAACTGAGACTGAATTTTAGACTGGCTCTTCTAAAAAGTACGAAGCTCCGCATATAGATCGACTGGTTAATCATTCGATGTCATATGTGTGTCCCTTACTTCGTGCTAAAGTTGATTTAAACGACAATGAACCTAGGTTCGGTACCTCCTTATATGATACCTAGATCTAACTACTATCCCGAACCGTATGCACATATAGGCTCTCGCTTCTCCTTCAGTCTCTAGCTAGAGCTAAAACATCCAATGTGAGATGAACAAAGACCATGGATTAAAGTTGATGATTTGTTCACTGTTTATCTATTGCTAAGGTATCTTAATCGTTTACATACAAGTAAATCGTATTGCGGAGTTGTAAAACTGCGCGGAGTGAGCAACGACAACTCCGCTCTCGATATTCGCTTTAAAAAGGCCGCTTCGTGTTAGGATAGTACGCGGCCGTGTAATACAAGAATAAAATGGTAGACGCTCTGTAACTCATTAGTATGCAGGCAGATATTTCCTCCTAACTCCCCTGTGACCCATCAGAATTCCAACCTCCTAAACCTAGGTATCCTTTTACAGTTTCGATAAATAAGAAAGTATAAATTGTCGCGTTAAGTATCATGGATATACTCTTCCCACGTAATTGAAGTTTGACGGATCTGACGTGTCTAGCGAGTACTCTAAGATCTCATTGTTAGAGATGCCATAAAACATAGCATCCGGCGACATTGCGATGGCCGTGAAGTTGGTCTCCGGGCCGGATTTGAACTGGAAACTTGAAATAGGGTTCATTTGTTTACCGTCCCAATGACTACCCTCGGTCTTGCCTCCCTGGAGGAGTCCGAGATATAAGGCTTGGTTCCAATTATCCCATCTAGTAGCAGCGAACTGTTGGGACGGAGCTGGGAGTGGTATTCCATCTTGAAGTTCGGTCACTGGAGTATGTCAGCTTGCAGACCTACTCGGGGGGTCTTGAAATAGTATGAATATCATAAATATTCATCAGTATTCTTACCTTTTTGATCAGCGCCATCCCACGTGTCATCGTACGGCGTCATCGTCATACTTCCCGTCTTGCCTGATGACACTTGTTCGGAGACGAGCTCTAGACGGTCGAGCCATGGCCCACGCAACTTGGGGAGGATGGCCAAGCTGGAATTGGCAGCGACATCTTTAGATTCGACCGCTACAGTTGCGCTAGCCCAAGTACTTGAATTGGCCGTCTTTATTGCTCCTTCTGGTCGTTGGTAGGCGACGACCCAAGTACCTTCACAATCGGCGCCCCAACAGCGTTGCCACATCGCCGCTAACTGACCGCCAGGCCAAGTTTCTAGTCTAGCATCATCGAGCGTATCATTATCCCAGCTGTCGGGTCTATTAAGCGCGTCGAAGGAAGCCATAGATCTTATAACGTTACCCGGGTCCGTGAACCATACATGTGTCTCGAACGTTTGCTTATAATCCATAGACGCGCTCGCTAATGGTGTTCCCGGTTGTGGGTTGAGAGGCTTCGTTGTCGCAGCCATCAACTCGGTTAGGTTATTCGTCTTCCACGACTTATTCTTGGAATCCCAACGCCGAGCGATAAGAGAATTATATGCATCCTGGAAAAAGATAGTCCTGTGAATGACCCCATTGGGATCTGTCCAGTTAGATGCGGTTATTTTCGAGTTGTCAAGTATGAGCTTTTCGTCTGTCGAATTCGACGGGAGATCTGTTGAACTGCCATTGTTCGACCCCGACGACCCCGACGACTCCGCTGAATCTGTTGATCCTGACGCATGGTTTTTACTCGCCAAGCCGGCCGGTATTCCTACTACTAGCGCGATAACCACGACGATCACCACTCCTAGAATTATAAAAAATGTTTTCCTTGGAAGGCCACATATTGTCCTTGTTGGAGTTGCCTTCTCTGTAGGGGGATGCTCGCCGTCGAATCCGGCCGCGCCTATTGGCCCGGGTCCATAAGCAGAAGGAGGATATGCGCTGTTTGGATAGGCTGATCCATCAGAATAGATCGTGCTTGCGGGATAGCCTGCGCCGTTGGGATATGCTGCGGCGTTTTGATGGTAAACTGAACCTGCAGCGTAGTTTGGGTCTTTATACGGGCCTGGAACGACACCAGGATATATATGTGATGGATTTACGACTTCTTTCGCGGACTCGGGAGCATAATACGATTGTGTACCCCCCACTGCTACCTGTTCGACAGGAACAGCTTGCGGATAGCTGTGGTCTGGATATTGTATCACCTCCTTCTGGAAGGTCTCTGGGTCCCGCGCAGAGACCTCAAGCGTGCTGTAAGGCGTGTCTTCCGGTGGCTGAGACATGGCGTCGTCTCAAACAACCAATACCGCTAGATTGGCAAGAATTGCTCAGCTCGAGAGAGTTTGGATCCGTGATAGTCTGTGAGAGAGCATGGTCTTCTTTTGGTCAAGAATCACTCGAAATTAGGTTGTCACGACACAGCTGACGCTGTGGCGAGAATGGGCTGGGAACTTTCTTCAGCTCTCGCTCGTACTATGTAGTGAATGTGGCCCAGGGGAGTTATTCAACTGTTTTATGAATCCTTCTATACATATTATATTATAGCAATCCAACCTAGCCTACCGCATCCCATGTCCTAGGCTAGCTCATTATGGATTCGTGTAGTTGCACGCCTACTTCTCAATGCGACTATAGGCAGGGGATATGAAATCCTTCTGGGTCTACATTTCCGCTTATCCTATCCAATCCCATCTCTAAGAAAGCTACGGGGCTGAGGGTGTGCAGGGTGCCCTAAGCACAAGCAGACTCGGACTCTGTGGATAAATCGATCTCTGTACTTTCTAAGTAAGGCATATTCATAGGTATTCCACGAAATAAGTGTCTTCTGTAATAGTTCTCGTGCTGATTTCCAATGCTGCTCTTCCCTAGACTATAGCCGCTTTGCTGTCGAATGATCTGACTAGGTACCTGTTATAATTACTTGACCAGATATCTTCAGCTAATCTCTAGACTAACAAGGTCAGAGCTTTTAACAGCCCTATCAGACTATGCCGCTAGTTACCATAGATTTGTAGCCTAAAAGCTTGGCCTCTTTTACGTACGGGAAATCCGTTTGTAGCAGGCGGTATCAAGTAAGATTGCACCGAGGTTTGCTATCAAAACTCAGCGCAGTCTCACCTTTTTATTCCATTTCAGTACTGTAAGATCGAATCGAGACTTCGTTCAACTTTATTGGATGTCATGATTCCCCCTTTCGTCAGTGGTCAGCATTCCCAGAATCCCTCGTGAAGCCCTTGGGGCCAAGGAATAGAAGCCGAATCGACTATTGGCGGAGTTTGTTGTTGTCGATTAATTGAGTGACGATTACAGGTCCTCTAGTTTTCTGCAGTCTTCGACCATTCCTTCGCCCAATCTAGCTGAACGTGGTATCCTATGTACGGATCCGTACGGCATCGCCTGCGCCCGTTCCTGAATTCGGCAGGGGTTCCCTGTAATGTAAGGGGGGCCGCATGTTCTTTACCCACCTCGCTCTGTAAAAGATCACTGCATGCTCCCCGCAACACAAACAGACATCGCACCTCGTTGGATCAGCAGCCGCGCTGAATAAAGTGTTATAATAGAGGGCCAACAGGGCGGCAATTCACCTACTCTAGTGCTCTTGTTTGGGTTTAGTATAAACTCACAGCCTCAGTAAACGCGACAGGAAGTATTTAAAGGAATTTTAAGGTCTACCTACGAGTTACCTACGTATTTAGATGATTGTAACAGGCTTGTTAGATTAGTAGCGTTTTCAGAGCCTCGGTGATGGTCCGTACAGTAAGCAGTGTTTATAGTAGCATCGACATTTTACCCCTGAGATGGCCAATAAATGACCTCGAGGAGTTCCTTTAAACTTCCTTCCTCGTGACTAGCTTAACTGGCTTGACTGGATTGCGCCGGGTTAAGATCCGTATCAAATCGTAGCAGGTTCTGCCTTGTTCTAATGGCTCACACCCCTTGAAACCACGCACGGCAGCGTGCTCGGTCCCGATTCCCGACCCTCTGTCATATATCTACTAATATTATCTCCTACTGGAACGTCGTTAACGTCTTGCTACAAAGGTCTAATGCCGATCGAACGCAAGTTATAATATAAAGGACCGGTATATATAACGGACGGGTACCGCGGCTATTTCTTAATGTATCTATCGTAGTCTTAAACTAGTATGTATGTCGTCCGACGCCGATTAATATGGGCGTTTCAATCCCGAAACTGTTGAGAAATAAAATAACGAGATGTGAAATTGGAAGTCCTGGACGAGTTACATAGTAAGTTAACCCCGCAAGCGACGGCGAAAGAGACGAAACACGGTCCGTCCCCCCCAAACCAGACCGCAAGCATGTGAGAAACATAAAACCGGTCGATTACTCTCTATTCTACTTTTCGATAATGAGCGTTGCGGCCTAGAATTCGCAGGGTATTTCCCAGTTATCAACCAACAGCTTATCATCCCGTGCCGTACGTAGGTAGCTATCGCGGTCTATTACGACTCCTTGAGGTCTAGTAATATATCAGTAACCGCCTCGTTATTATCAATTACCACCCGAACTATAGCATCAGCCGCGGTCTATGTAGTCGCTAGTCTCGGTCGCATAGGTACCGGGTAGTTTCGGGATCGAGTGGCGGAGATCCAAGAACCTGAACTTTATTATGCTCCCGTTTAGAAAAGAGCCGCACATATGGGGAGAGGATTATAACAGCGAGGCTATCCTCAAAGGCTCCAAGTAGCATACGTCATAATTATACCTAGAAACTAGCGATTGTGCTCGAAGATAGGTAGACACGCAATACGAGCCATTGATAGTAACACTTCTGTATGGCCTATGTATCATCTTGGAATCGCACAACCTCATTTACACGAAGGGTTCGGACTATATAGATTTAAGTTCAAGTGGTTGAAGTCAACTTCTACCCCTCGGACTCCTTTACCCAACAAATTCCAACTACTATCATTAAGAAAATATACCAGGACGATGTGTATCTCCGATAGATGGCCTCCCCCAGTAACAGATCACACAGAACTTTTCTCAACTCCAGAATAGCTACCTGGTAGTTGTCAGTCACTTCACTACACATAATTACCACATCGTCATGATGTCAACTCCAGATTCGTACTCAACTAGTTCTCTTGAGCATTTATTTGACCGTTGTCATCATCATAGGAATTTCGCGGCTCGTACCCAATGTGCCGGTCCTCTCTTTCATCGCGATTCCTTCGAATTATATCGAGAAAGAAGTGTTCGCAGGGCCCAGGAAAGAAACGCGGGCGGTTGGGAATTCGACGAGGAACAGGAAGATGAGGAGAGCATCAAGAAAGTTTCTCTGCTGAGCCAATTCGTTGCCCGAATCCGCCAAGCTTGGGCCGCGTTGCCATGTTCATCGACTTCAAGAAACCGACAGAAGAACCAAGCAGGAAACTCGATACCACGCAAGGATAGACACGCACGATTTGCCGACGAGGACTCGAGTCCAGCATCGTAGCATCACACTAATGTTCAACATAGAAACACAATTACCTCCGAAAGGTAAACGACAGAAGAGCCGCACAACATTCCTTATGTTACAACCGCACTACTCGGCGACGAAGTCTTCAAAAAGAGATTATATATCAAGGTTCAATATACGGAGCGAACGAGGCGAAAGAACACTATCTACCTTAATAGCGAGCGAGGGGTCAACAGGAATCCCTGTCTATTTGTCACTCATCACTCAAGAACAGGCAAATGGAGAGGGGACTCGGTGTGATAGGTGTGATAGCTGGTAACTTATCTACGATAGTTCGATAATCGAATATTAAATCTTTGACATCGTACGAGTCGTCAGTAAAAGGGCCGCTCCACTTAGAAATCAATAAGAGAAGGTATGTAAAGGTTGCCCAACTCCACCTCAGTAAATCCATTCATGCCAATAAGGCGACCATCAGTTTGAATGATCTAAGGCCTTAAAAGCCGAGCCCCGAAAGCTGACATATTAACATAAATGACTGTAATGAGTTCTTGTTTCTTTACGACCAGTCATCAGTCTCCGGCTTTCATAGGTAGCTAATGAATAAGACCTTTACGACTATGAGCTGACCTCAAAGGGTTTTATAATTAACATAAAGATTACCTTATATAATATAATATTAGCGCACTGTAGCCCTGCGTTGTCAATTCTCCGAATCTGCGAGGCCTTAAAGCCTAAGGAACACGAGAGATAACATATTTCCCCGTGCTTTTCCAATAGATGCGGTCCACGATCTTCGGCGCTCGCTAAATCGGCCACTTCATCTATGTAAGTCGGGCCGCTTTGTGCCTGCAGGACACGTGCTACGATCCAGAAAACCGTTGGGTAGTATTTAGGTCTTTTCTTTTTTTTCTTTTTCTTTTTCGTTTCATACGCTTACATAGCTTATTACGATAGGATAGGTTAGGCTTTTATTCTTTACATGCTTCCGTGTAGGACGTAGGACTTGGTCTTGGAACCGCGACAAGTTGTATAAAACTGCAGGGGGTTACGCACTGAAGCGATGATCCTACCGCTCTCATTTAACATTGGAAACTGGTATTCACGTAAAATCGTTCCATATCTTACGACAATATCTAAAATCAAGTTCCAACTAAAAATTTAACTCTACGAAAGACTTCTTGATGTCAAGGCGTAACCAGTCAGAAAGGCGTCAAAAAAGCTGGCGCACCTTTATGTACATAGTACTAACAATTATCCTGGTAGGTGAGCCACCTTTTTTGACGTCCTTCTGCCAGTTGAGCTAGCTTGTTTTCCTTATTCGAAAAATGGCTAACAGAGCTGGTTCGCGGAGTAGGCCCGCTGTATCTGGCGCCGAACGAATCAGGCTCGAGTCCCTTTCCCATTTATTTTATTTTTGGAAATCTGCATCGCCCAAGCAGGCAGCGAAGCTAGGTACTTACATGGTATAACTTACATGGTAGGTATAGATAGGTAGTCATGTGTCCCCGACGCGGAGTAACGCAACACTAGCTTCTGCTGCTGCTGCTGCTGCTGCTGCTGCTCTCTGTTACCTTAGCCTTACATACCCTACATATATACAATTCATATATACATTATGCATACTATTACTTATATCTTAGGGTCATATCTTGAAAGGGGGTTAGCTATTCTCAATTAAGACTACCGGCCGTGCTAAACTACCGGCTTAGATATTTTGAGTAAACCCAAGAGGCCCCCCCAAAAGTGAACTTTGAACCATATGCTCCTCCAACCATGAAGGACAGGCTCCAATCATCGACAAGCTTCGAGTTTATAAAGTTTGGTCTCGAAGAGCCTCCTGACCAGCCGGACCAGAGCCTGTCCGTACAGAGAGATGCTTTCTGGAGCTACTGCGGCCCTTTGCTCTCCACACTAGATGACCTCCCATCTAGCTTCCACGACTGGGCCCACGCTGCTCTGTCCGGCTCCTTACTTCCGCTCCTACTCCCCTTCCTAACCTTCGTCAACGAGTTCATCCGAACAAATGGCCTTGATCACTACTGGCTCACCATCCGCGCGACGAAAGCGACCACGGAATACAACAAGCCTAGATGGCACACGGACGACATGTTCTTTAATAGGAGTAGTGGTGACGGTGGCGGTATTTGGGCCCGGAGAAGATCGCTAGTGGTGGGTGGTAGAGAAAAGACAGAGTTGGACCTACAGACAGACTGGAAGTTATGCGCTACACTACTCGGCCCCGCAACCATGTTCATTCCCGCCGAGCACCAGGCAGCAGCTCGCGCAACGTGTCGCTCGACGAAGCGTGATCTAGCTACGGATCACATGTGCACCTCAGTCCGTTGTGTTGGGTGTGGGGCGACGGCCGAAGCTGTCCGGGATAAGCTCACGACCGAGTTCGCCCCCCTAGGCCTGGTTCAAGCGGAACCGGGCGAGTGCAGCATATTCCGCATCGGCCAGGAACGCGGTGCCGTGCACTCGGAGCCCTGTATGAGTAGAGGAGATCGGATATTCATCAACGTCGTGCCGGGTAAGAGAGACGAGCTGTCTTCTCTGCTGGCCAAATGGGGGATGCCTTTTCCAAGGTCGTGGTTTATCGCCCCAGGCGTCTTACGTGGTCATGGATTAACGTGATTGGTGAGGTACACGCCAGGAGGTCAAGGGGGGCTTAACACTGTAGTAATTGAGCATGAGCATTGTTACGGGCTCTATCAGGAGGGTTTGAAATGGATGTAGGAGAAGGAGACCAGCCGGGACTGGAGAAGGATAACACCTATCTTCTTTTCCTTATTGCATTTTTATCTAGTTTTCTAACGTGAACATGATCGAATGGATATCCAGGCTATACACTACTGTGACCGACAATCCTCAAAAAAGGGCAACAAGGGTACCGGAGTTAAACTCCCTTTTCGTCTTATGTGCGTGAATACCGCTCCAAAGAAACCACCTACTACCTGAGGTATCCTGCTTAAGTATCTGCTAAGGAGGCGGAAAAGGCAGGAGGAACGCTACGGATACAGATAGAGGAAACGAGAGGAATAGAATAGATGGGGTAGACGGATGAACGGCAATGAGAGATACATAACATAAGGATACGGCGAACAAATGAAAGACATTAAACTCCGAATGAAAGCAAGAGAAAAAAGGAGGTATTAATTAAATTTTATTTATTTGTTAGACGGGGAACCTACATCGAACAGTTTAAAAGAGACAGTTAAACATTAAACATCTTTAACACGTTCGAAACCAGCGAACGAGTCTCATGCTATATCATCACGTCGTCACATAGAGCGGCCTCATATCCAGTTATGTCCAATCGCTTGCCGGGTTTTCTCAGCCTCTCTGGCTCTCCTCGTCTCTCGGTCCTGGTTGACAAGGAAACCCAACAAGTGCATGATCCTAATGCAGCGGTCAAACTGGATGTCTTCGGGGCCCTTTGCTATCTCGGCATCTAAGATGACATCGAACACCTCGCCCCGGGCAGTTGTCAAGAAACTCATGATTCGCAGGGCAAACATTGACACATGGGGTAGGAGCTCGTATGGCGCCGACTTGCACTCATCTTCTACTGCCTCCTTTAACGTCTTCACCTTGTTTCGAACCACAGACGACGTGCGAAGGCTTTGCAAGTAGTCGTCGACATTCTTCCAGTCGGGCAACTCCCTATTCATGGAGGCCGCCGTAAGACACCTATTCATGTAAAGCCGGAACGCTTCCTTAACTTCATCGACCTCAATCAACGCCTCCGCATCACGCCGGCTCTTCAACCTCAGGGAGATTTGAAGCGACTTAACCGTCTCCGGATGCCTGGCGAACATTTTGTATGGTATCTTAAGGAGTTGATTAAGGTCTGACTTGGCTAAGGTATGAATTATTAAGGTCTGATTTGGTTTAGATCGGACTACTACTATGCGTTAGGCTTGTATTTATAGCCCATGGGGTGTGCCTATTTCAAAGCAATACTTAGTCATTGCTAGAATATCTCATGCACAAAGCACTAGTTTTCCCAAGTTGTTTGTTGTTTGCTGTTCTAAAACGGTTACCGGGATTTGGTTCTTGCTGAACCGAGACGGAATCTAGACAATGCCTTAGTGAGATAGTGGTGTACAATGGGATTGTTCGCCCCTCAAAGGGGTAGTCGTAGTATACAATGATTTCGTAGGCCGACATCAAAATGAGCGTCTATAGGGGAGAGCACCACCCCTTCACGTCATATCTATCTTTCCTCTGTCTTGCCGCTCAAATAATCCGTGAATGTACAACCATATCCCATAATATGTCGAATTAATTCGCTGGGCGAGTAGATACCCGTTGGAACAGGTTAATCCATTCATCATCTGCAAGATGCTGCTCCACGGACGAAATCGCTTCCAGCGAAGGGTCATTCCCAAATTTCGAGTCATCTCCCCCGTAAAAATTGTCCAACGTGTAAGGGAAATTAAAATCTAAAAGTAGAGGGTCTTTACCAAGTTAGCACCTTCTTCGTCACAGGTAGATATATGGGAATGGAAGCGGATTAAAATAGTGGCTTTTGGAGCAGCATACCTTGCAAAGCGAACATCGGACTTAGCTCGTCCTCTACGCTAGCCGGGCTCGCCGTGGGGGTGCCCGTGATTTCGAGGACCAGGTTGATCGCTTTGATAGCCCTCCGAGCGTTTCTAGATACAGCGCTGTACCTCTTCCAGCATCCCGCAGATATTACGAGGAGTTTGTTAACCTCTTCTGTGCTTGTTCCCTCTACTGCGCTTTTAGGAGTATCGGCGATCTGTTTAACATAAGCACATACAATACTAGTTGCTAGGAGAAACTCGTTATTCATCACAGATGAAAGTTTCCAGCGAGTCTCGTATAACAAGCCACCTGGCTTGACTAGTTCATAAACTGTATGCTGATATTCAAGAACCTTCACGGCCGCTTTCAAGCAGACTCCTCGCGAGTAACCGTAACGTTCATTTTGGATGGGTACCATAAAGTACTTCTTATGTAGCACGATTTTCAGCCGGAGGAAGCAGATGTCCAACCAAATTCTTTGCATTACCAAGTTTGGAGGGTCTGCGATGGATAGATGTATAGGCTGCATCCTTAAGGGTGGTGGAATGCGGAGCTGATCAGCCTGTACCCTTTGGTCCATTACATGGGTCTCTTCATATTTGTGAGGCCTTGTATCAGTCGCCAGGTCGCGAACCTTTTCCCAGAGACGTGAGATGCGGCTCCTAGTAATTATATATAAAACTGCCAACTTGGTTAAATTTCTAGAATTGCCTTGGGTCTTATGTTTGGTACGGGAAGCAAAGTTACTAACCTGGCGTCACTTCTGTCTCAGGCCGAGACGGAGGAAGTTCAGTTGTTCCCTCATCAAAATCAGAGTCCGCAAGGTTGTGTGGTTCTTCTGTATCTATCTGGTTGTCTTTTAGTATACTCGGAAGGCCCATTTGGGAGGCAAAGATAAGATTCGCCTGGTATAGCGCCGCCCATGTTCGTCTTCTCATCTCACCATCGAAGGGTGATATGACTGGAAAGTTTTTAGGGTCTCTATGATATCCCATCCTCATAGCAATGCTTATGATCATGCTCAGTAAAAGATGGGTACCAAAATCCGAATCCTCTTGGAGGAAATGTTCTATAGCAACATAGAGAATTAGAGTCTGTAAGACATTCTCACCGCCCCTGGTGTACTTTCCTAGTGTTAGACACTGGACAACCTTCTCCCGATATGATCGTACAAGGAGCGTATTCTCTGCGTTAGGGGGTAGGGCGCCCGGATCGTGATCGCCGTTGCGTTGTAAAAGCATAGACGAAAAACACATGATGGCGAACAAGAGCCCTATCCACATGATCGGAGCTGCGAAGGGGTCTTCCCAAAACTGGATATACTTATAGCAACATCTGTTAGCAACCAGAAATTATCGGATATGCGAAACATGGTAGTCACCTGTCGAATAAACTGGCCGCTGTGTAATAATGCTAGATAGAATAATTAGCTCTAACATGTTGCTCTGGTCTAAAATAAGCACATAAATATTACCTGGTGTTAAATCGAGAGATGAAAAGAATTTCGAAATTAATGAATCGGCCACACTTCGCGCTGGCAGTATGCTTAAGATCTCTCCCTTGCTAGACTGAGCAAACCGGCCGTATAACAACAGCGGACAAGGCCCATAATCAGGAATAGGTTGTAAGGGGATCTGGGAGTGCGGTCCTGATTCCGGACCATCTTGAAAATAGTCCTTTAGTTCGGAGATGCTGTCTAAGAGAGCAGTCCAATGTGCACCATCGACGTAGCTAACGCCGGCGGGGCTGTCCGTTAGTGTACCACCGTTGGGTGGTTCTCCCGACGCGCCGGCCTCGGAGTCGGGGGATCCTTCGGTGGTCTCGGGGAGTGCTTGGACATTGGATGAGTTCTTAGATGCTGCCCGTTGCATAAGAACATGCACAAGTCCTTCTAGCTCACGGATTCGATTCTGCACTGTGGAATGGGTATCACGGTCCGAGGTGCGTGATGTGGCATCCGGAGGATAACTGCAGGAAGCGGCAAGTCCCCGGAGGGAACATGTCCTGCAAGGCTGTTGTCGATCACATTTAACCCTAGACACTGATGTGAGCAGGGCAACTTATTTGGGGCTAATGTTAGAATGGTAACATACTTCCGCCGGCGACATGAACCACATGAGAGCTGAACGCGATTATTAGTTATACACACCACTACTCGCTCTCTCATAATACTTACCTGAGGTTTATCCCGTCTTCGATTTGGTGGGGGTAAGGGGCGATGTCTTGGAGGAGTTGCCGACATTCTTTTTGCATATTACCGGATACGGCCGCTCTGGCTTTCTCATGCGAAGAAGAATTTCTCTGGACGGTGATGACTGAGAATGAGACGGTGTATGGACAACCAACAAGAGTCAGTGAAGGCATTTAATCCGACATATCCGACCGTCCGGGACCGTCCGAACATCCGCAACCCCACGTCTTTCTAGCCATTAAAGAGACTTCATAATATTTTCATCTCATAACTCGGTTTTATTTACTAAATTATCGATCAAGAACTTAAACATTTAATTTCTAAATGAGATAGGAACTTTATGAGGAGGACCTTGTTTAACTCATTTGAGGTAAACTTGAGCCAAATGTTTTTTGATGTTTTTAAGTTACTTTTTTTTCTCAAAAAGCTGTGAAATGAAAAGTTACCATTAAAATGTACCAATAGATGAATTTCGTGCAAACCGATGCCGTTTATAATGCCAAATACACTGTCACAAATCTAAGATTTGAATCCTCGTAGCTTATAAGTTTTAATTTCAAGAATGATCACATTGATAAGTCGTTTATTGTTCCCTCGTTCTCTATTGGCGGATATCTACCTACATTGCTTGAGTCTTCATGATGTCATATTATCTTACTACATACATCAGCCAAGTCCCGACATAAGGGCAGTGCTTAATACCCCACGCATAAACTCCGCTGAAGCCGACATCGAGCCGCATGATTTCTTGTCTTAAACGTTCACCAGAATCCTTTGTGACGCAAGAGGCGCGCGCCCATAACAGCATTGGTAGTTCAGTGCAATATACTGTACCTAACGCTAGTCAGGAACCAAGCTGCCTTATGTAAATAATGGCAACTCTGTCACTGGAAGAAGAAGATCCCCCGCCCTACATCCCAGAGAATCGGAATGACGGAGACGATGTACTTCAGCCTGCCATCTTCGTACTTGACGGCCATTACATCCGTGCCCAAACCGCCGACGGTGCTCCGTTATACGAACTCTCTCGCGATGTTAGGAGATCACCAACAAGCGAGGCCCAGCTTGCCCAAGTGACACTCGAACGTCTAATTCGCAATGTAAGGATAAGCACAAACGGTACGCCTCGGGTCATACACCGCAGCCGCCACATATTCAAGCTCAAGCATCTACCTCCCGTAATATCTACCGGATTCCCTTACGTCTTGGATGCCATATCGCGACATGCCATCGGGAACCTCGCGCTTAAACCTGCATCCTTCCCTCGATCGGGATATAAGGTGGTAAAGACCAAACCCGAGAAGGAGAGCGGATTCCCTAAAGGATATCGAGCCAGAAAGGAGTCGTTGAAGGGGGACGAAGTGATATTCGATATACTCAAGAAACGCGATCATTATGAGTGGATGCACCCTATCGACGGGAGTCGTATCGCGGTAGAAGATGAGATGGAGAACCAGCACAGACTGATAGTCACGACCCCTATCACGCGGAAGATGATGGATGCCATGGTAGCTAGTTGGACCTTACGAATTTGGCGTGACGGTATGAAATCGCATGGTGAGCCGCGGAAAGCACGTAAGTTGATTTCACTGTCGATGCCGAATAACTGTATGTGTTGACATTCTCAAAGTCAAGACCGAAGTACCGAGCGTACGAGAAGTTCTCCCAAGGTGGTGGTAACTAGAATGGTGAAATCAAAGAGTGGTAGTGGCGTTAGGGTCATGTCTCGAACACTTACCTGATTTATAGGTAGGCGACAAAGGAGGGGGGGTAACCATAACGCCTACACAGTTCTGAAGCCGAAGCAAAGCCGGTTTCTCAGCCCTACATCCCGAATTTTGAGAAGCCCCGGGCCGGGCAAAGGGTCTCGGGGACTTTATTTGACCACGGAGTTATATGTCCACGATATTGACGACATTTACGACATTTATATGTTTTCCCTTGCAAGCTGTATATATTAAAATTGTTTAGGTACCTAAGTAGGGACGCTTGATGTAATCAAATTCAGTCCACGATTTATCCCCTTGCTCCCCCACACCATCCCATCTACGACGGGACATGTTATAACCCAAAAATAGCTACAAATATCAAAATAACTATTCGTCCGAGCACGTCGCTAAACTTCTTAAACTTCAACGTAGCTAGCTAACTAATTTAAGCTGACGAAACAGTTTCTTTCTTGGTTCTAACGAATAAGATATCAGCACTGGCAACCTTGGCGCCAAGGTGATCATCGTCGGCGGTTGAGATTTGAAACGTCCCAATATTGGTGCTTCACTCAATGAGGGTTTCAAATAGTCTGGGCAGTCGTAACTGGGGATGGGGAAATGAACTCGACGACTAGTTGAGATGTATTAAAACGGATGGCGTCTGCAGAATGTTTCTCGAAATCTTCACCTGCGCTGGATTTGGCAACTGAGCACATGTGCTTCCCCAGGTCACTTTACTTCACTTCACTTCACTTCACTTCGAGATATCGGGCTGCGCCCTCACTAATAATTACTATCTACGGCTGGACCTAATTGAATAACAATTACTTTCATTGCGGTTGACTTCTTGTCTTTCCCTTTTGTTCATTTATTTCAAGTCTAGGTCGTCGAGATTCTATTAGTGTTGCGTCTTCACAATGAGGTAAGAGGTAGTCGATAAGTTGCGTTATAGTGTTCTAGTTCTAATCATGATGAAGGAGCTCAAGCTATCGAAGAAGCGCTCGCGCAAATAACCTAAGGGTGTTTATTCGCGACGATGTCCCAGATACCGTTGATGATGTCGAGTCCGATTCCGAATCTGAAGATGAACCAGATACACCATCGCCAACAAAAGATGTGTTTTCGTCACCTTCTGCTGGGACTGAGGCACCCGCACAACAGGTTGGAGCTCCTGCCACCTCAGACCCTTCATCAGTAGAGTCTCCTCAGCCGACAACAGACGCTTCTCAACCCACAACAACATTCGCCACGAGCATTAGCGTACCGGCGGCTCAGTCTTCTTCAACCAGCACAGTTCTTTCACCAAGCGCATTACCACAAGCCAACGAACCTTCACAAGCTCAAACAGCCCAACCCGAAAATCCAACACGTATAATGAGCAAGGACGGCGCCATAGCACTCGGCACAATTGGTAAGACTAACCTGATGGAAGCCCCCTTTCAGCAACCCTAAAGACTAACAAAAACAACAGGAGGAACAATAATAATCGCAGCCATAATATTCCTCCTCTGGAAATGCCGACGGCGCCAAGCCCGCGCCAACGGCAGCGTCTCATCAAGATTCTCGCCCTTCTCCGGGTTCAAGAAAATGGAAGCGCCGCGGGAAATATACACGACGAACCGCGGGTCAGGAGGGAAGACAGGATCGAAAATCATGGATGATCTCATGGCGGCCGCGTATGCTGCCGAAGACGGCAATGCGTCGCAGTACGGGGCGTATATGGATGAAAAGCGACGATCCAACAACTCTATGTATGCCCCGAATCCGAGGCGGTCGAATCCGCCCCAAGCCGCAGTAAATCCCGATAGGGGACCGAACTCCCTTTACGTCAATCAGCTCATGTCCGGGTTCTACAAGGGTTCGAGAGCAGGTGGACTCACGGCCCCAGCTAATGCGAGAATGCCCCCTCCGGTAGCTCCCTCTGTCGCAGGGCAAACTGAGGTCACAACCACTACCGAAAGTACGTGGAGGACGTGGGGTTGGTCGCAAAAGAAGCCGCCGAAGGAATCTTGGGTCGATAAGTGTGTCCGCTTGGGAGGCTTGAGATAATTTTGGCCTGGGTTCGATATATTTCATAGAGCAGATTGGGAACTTGGAATCTGGATCGAGCTACTGCAATGTTTGAAATCGAAGTGTTACAACGTCTGCATTTTAATTCACGATGGCTCTTAGTAAATGTGATATCACTTAAAAGGAAAATGTATTAGTTTTGTTAAGCCATGTCCACTAGACTAAACAAAGGGGCGTTCAAGTAGAACGCCCAAACTGCCACATGCGAGAACCCCTTCAAGAAATAACGATTGAAATCTCATCGAGTCATTATGATTATGTTGATCGACAGCCTCCCCTTTCCCACATCTCTGTCTTGCCAATTCCCCCTAGAGACGATTATACCGACATCCTCGACAGACTAGAATGTTGCACACGCGGCATTCATATATGAAGAACCTCATACGTTCGCCACACGTCTCACAACGGTTGCGTCCCTGTACAGAGCGCCAAAATGGGTGATCACACTCATAGTTCTCCATCAGATCATCGACAATATCTAGAATTCTGATCTGTCTGTAATCATCTAGAGCAAGGGCTTCGGCTACACCAGCCTCTCCATGATCATTGTGGCCTCTGTCATGGATCTCTTCCGCTCCGTCATATAAAATGTGCTCGTCCTACTGGGCACAGTCGCATTGTTTCCAGGGCTCGCTACAGAGGTAGCAGAACTCATTGCCGCAACGGCAACTAAGACGTAATTAGCTAATTAACTCGGGCTTCTTATAGGTATAACTACCTAGGAATACTCACGTAATATGGTAACAACCAGTGCTTAGTTCAATCATCGATTGGCAGTTGGGGCATCGTTGCCATCCTTCTTCTTGGGCTAATCGGACAACTCCCTGAAGATCATCGTTGGGAGGACAGTCGCCATTGTGAGACGGGCCCTTGCAGGCAATGCATGTCGTAGACTGACACGCACTGCATGTTGCAACAAGGCCGACATGCATGGCAGGGTGGATAAAGGCGGAGCAGGTTGCTTGGTGACAGTACGTTCTGTTCGGTGTTGAAAACTCGACTTCTTTGTCTCGGAAATGCCTGACCAAATCCTCCGGGAGGAGATGCTCGTTAGGTTCGAGGGGAATTTGTCGGCGGCAGCAGCGTGGAGGAAACAAGGCCTCGTCAGCTGTGGCGTTACGGAATAATTGCGCCAGACAGTCAGAACAATACTTGTGCCTGCAAGGTACTTGTGCCAAATCGTTAACTTCTATCTCATTGCAGGCAAGACACCCTCGCATTCCATCAGTATTGCCGTCGCTGCCTTCTGAGGTATTGTCATCAGAAGTCGAGTAAATAGTTTCGTAATATTCATCGCCGTACTCGCTCACACGTAATATATATCCATGTCCATATTCAGATTCGATGTCAGAGTCATACTGGGCATCATCCTGGTCATCCTGGTCATCCTCTTCTGTCTGCAAAGCTGGGTGTCTATCGGGGGTTCTATCGGGGGCAATGGGGTTGAACCTGTTGAACCTGTCGAGTTCCCGAGCATAGAGGCCCATTGCTAGATCTGTGTCTGAACGCTCTCCTTCTGCATGTTGGCCATTGTTCGACGCGAAATATTGTCGTATATCATCCCGCTGGAGACTGATAATAAGACTCATAGACCCCTTGTCGACTTCAGGCGGTCCCATCATTATCAGATCGTCCAGTGCGGCCATTGTACAGAAGTCGTACTTAATAAACCAAAGCAACCATTAGACGCGTTTGGAACACTTTAATTTTAGGAGACGATGAAGCTATCAATCCTATGTTGATGAAGGGTTGACAGAGTTGTATCTCAACCTAGAAAAATTGTGCTTTGGTGCCTAAACATGTATTAAAGAGCAGTTAGACGGGTGGTGAACAAATAGTGAAATTTATTGAGACGCGTTTCTGCTGCGTTGTGGTAACTACGATAACGCACCGCAAAGTGCACTTGGTTGTCATAGTAATTCCAGGTGCGCCCTAATCTAACATGCAATATTTAACAGCTGTCAAATAGACTTCATAGTTATTCTGCCCGGGAGTTACAAAAGATATCTTACCTTGTAAATCACTCTGGCATATCACTTATTTTTCAACTACATTATCCCTTGCACTTAATATTCTAGTTCAAGGAGCTAGAGTTTACAAGACGTGCTTAATTTACTTGTCCTGGTCCTATCAGATAATGAGAGACAAAATAGGATGTTATGTTAGGATAAATTTCTAATTCAACTACCTCAAGTAAGTTAAACTTGACTTTTACTTTTCAGTTTTTTTACTTTTCAGTTTTTAAAGGACCCAACGGCACTTGTGGCACTCGTGGCACTTTCCAATTTTGTATCTGCTATTTCCAGATCAGCAATTCACTAATCCTAACTCGATACATATGTACCTAGGGAGTTGCTTTCTTGTGAAGTGTACTTTAGGTATTAAACCAGAAATTTCCATGCAAAGCTCTACACAAATAACAATGCTCCTTACCTCCTAATATATCACCTTTCATGAGATTGTCTATTCACGTTTATTATCCATATTTGAAGTGGCCTATCGAATAATAATAAAGTACTAATGAAAAACCTCAAAATTAAAGACTAAACCTTTGCAACTAAGACAGAAAAAGATTCGTTTTTACTGCTTTTGCCTTGCAACCCCTCCCCCTTTCTCGAGTAACGAGTAATGCGGACAGAACTCGTGATAGCCCAGACGTCCATCTTATGCAGTCGTTCTGCCCTCATTTTGACGAATGTACAAAATGATAGGTTGGGGTACGGGGGGCTAGATCTGGCCGTTATGTTGTTATGACGAAATGTGATATATTGAGCCTTGCCCACTTTTGGGTCGCCACAAACATGCCGATATCATCTTGAGTACATCCAATACCCCAGAGACGATAAATAGAATTGATCTTGATGCATCAGCTTGAATTTTTTTGATGTTGTTTACTTTATCATACTTTCCTGATTAACCACTGCTAAGGAACAACCCCGAAAAAATACCTAACCTATCTATAACAACCTCCTATTTTGCAAATACATGGTATTCAGACTCAACAAGAAAATGTCAGCCGACCTACCAAAACTCCTAAAAAGTGTCGCGCAGGAGCTGCCGCCAATAGAGAGCAACGAGTTCGGAGCCAAATTTGACATATTTGGAAATTCCCGCTTGGTTCTCATCGGCGACGCGAGGTTAGTATTCTTAACCCATCTTTGACGGCAGTATACAGCTCGTTAACAGATTACGATAGTCATGGGACGTCCGAATTCTATCGAGCGCGTGCCGCTATCACGAAACGCTTGATAGAAGAGCATGGTTTCACTCACGTGGCTATCGAGAGTGACTGGCCAGACGCGCGCTCTATCGATCACTATGTACGACAATATCCTTGTCGGTCTGAGGATATGCCTATTCGTGTCTTTGATCACTTCCCGCGTTGGGTATGAGAACTTCCTAGCTATATCATTGCCATAGCTTGGTATGATTTCCTCGAGATATTCTAATATCCTATGTTGTCCTAGATGTGGCGGAATGCGGAAGTACAGGAGTTTGTTGATTGGCTCCGAGAGCACAACGCTCAGTTGCCCATGAACCGGAGAACATCATTTAACGGGCTCGATCTTTACAGTATGGGGTCCTCGATTCGGGCGGTGGTCGAGTATCTCGATAGGGTAGGTTATCATGTTTATAACTATTGACCATGCTAAGTTATCGTGCACTAATATCGTAAATAGGTCGACCCAGCCCTCGCCAAAGCAGCTCGGAAGCGATACGGTTGTCTGGAGCCATGGACCGACGACCCGCAAGAGTACGGGCGCAAGTCGTTCCACGAGGGCTCAGCTAAATGCGAGCCTGGTGTGGTCAAGATGTTGCAGGAACTCCTCAAGAAACGGATTCAATTCGCCTCGCACCCGGAGGACGGCGAATCCTTTTTAGACGCTGAGATGAATGCTCGCGTAGTCTGCGACTCCGAGAAGTACTACCGGGCTATGTTCCACGGTGAAAAGACATCGTGGAATATTCGTGACACCCACATGTTTAACACCCTATCGCGCCTCCTCAAGCTCAAGCCCGGCTCCAAGGCCGTAGTATGGGCTCATAACTCGCATCTAGGAGACGCCAGGGGGTCGAGCATGGGAGCCAAGCATGGCGAGCTTAACCTAGGACAGCTATGCCGCGAGAACTACCCGGGCGAGGTCTCTATAATAGGATGCGGGACGCACACAGGAACCGTCGCCGCCGCAGACGAGTGGGATGAGCCCATGAAGATCATGAATTTAGTGCCTTCGCGCGAGGATAGTTATGAAAGAATGATGCATGATACTGGAATTTCCTCCTTCATGGTTGATTTGCGCCGCTTGAAGACCGAGCCGATGTTGCAGCGATTTATCGGCGTGATATATAGGCCCGGTACCGAGAGATGGAGTCACTATATCAAGACCATTCTCAGCGAACAGTATGATGCATTTGTTTGGTTTGACAGGACAAGTGCCGTTAACGCATTTGAAACAGCACAGCCGAAAGAGGCTCTCTCAAAGGGAGAAACTTACCCCTTTGGGGTGTAGATAGAAGATAGAAGATGGAGGAAAGAAAGCGTACAACATCACTCCTGATCTAATCTGATCTAATCTAGATGATACGGGCAAAAAACATTATGTATAAGGAAAATATCACTAGAAATCCCAAGGTCTGACGATGCTATTCTCCTAAATGTAAATAGTGTATACCAAATGCTGCATTAACAATTTTAAATCACCATCATAACATCTGTATACACAATTAGGTACCTAAAGATGGTGGTATAAATGGTAAAAAATGCCCATGAAAACTCCACTAGGATGCATATCAAATTATGGTCTATCAGCACGCTCAAAACAGATTACCGCCGCCCCGGAATATCATCCTACTCCCTTCTGTCCGATGCCCTTTTTTGATGTTCATTTGGTCGCTGCCGAACCGTTTCGTGGTGTTCATCTCTAACCGGGAAAAACAAGCCTAGTGGCTTATCCGAATAATTGATAAACAAAGGTAGAAGCAGGGGCCCGAACACGCATCAAACATCACGATTATGTGGTTCATGTTTACAATTTCGTCGTCAGGCCATGTCCACATCCCGCGAAGTAAAAAGTAGTTTATGCATGACCGAGAAGCCAAGCATACCTGATATCGCCGAGCATGCTCATGTCTCGTCCCATCATCTCGTCGTGTTCAGTCCCATCAACGTCGCACCCAGACACCATCCCAAAGCAATAAAATTCGTATGTTATACATTTTCTCCCGAAAAAGAGAGGTGATTGATCCTTCCAAAGTAAAAATAATCGACTCGCCTCGATTCCAATAGCCTCGATGCAGCTAGTTTGAGGCTTTACTCGTGGTCGTTAAGAATGTCTACTAGATTGAACTAGATTCCGTGTGAATATTCGTTATGCGTTCTCGTTATGCGTTCCACCTCGGTTGCATTCGTAGCAAAATGCTTAGCGTTTCGACCATATCGCTCTCAATGAGAGCTATATTCCGCATCCGATATACGAACGGATCGGCTTGATACATTTTCATGTATCTCATATACGAAGGGTAGCAGTTAGGCAGTAGTTACCCTGATGTAGCCGTGTAGAGGCGTCGACACTAGTAACAACATCAACCTCATTGACTTTGCATGATTATCTTCTTGGCCGTTTCTGTGCTACCAATACTTGTTTGCGTATCACGTCTCTTTGCGCTTAACGTTCTTCCTAGCGGCGAGCTAGTGTGGTCTTTAACAGGATTCCGCCTCTTAGGCTTCATTACGAGACCTTCATCGCTGTCGCTACCGTCGTCATCATCGACTGCTCTTGTGGTTAGGAAGGATGATGTGGCGAAGGAACGGTGGGGCTGAGGAAGTAATAGCATTTGGTAATGTTCATCTTCTTCCAGAGGAAACCCTGAGATCGGCTCCTTTGTAAGAGCGGGTGGGGTTAACGAGTCGGTAGTATCAATAAGGGAAGGACGGTCAACAGAGCCTGGCCTCAAAAGGAATTCTCCTTCAGCATCAGCAGATATCGAACTAGCACCGCTGAGCAGCGCCGGCAGCGATGGGTCTGAGCGGAAGACGGGCGAATCTTCATCCTGGCCTGGTAAACTCCCGAGGCCAACCGGACTTGTCGACTCGCTCGGGCTGGTTAGAGGTGTCATCAGCGTGCCAGTAGAGGCCGAAGCTGATGTCCCAGCAGTCCCAGTATCTTCCCTAGATGGTGGTTGGGTATGTTCTAGGCTTAGCCCGTATTCTGGCGAAGGAGGATAAGGAACGGGCGTAATGTCGTCTTCATGAGGTTCGAGCTCTTCACGTTTCGATTGTTCTTCATCCTCTTGTCGGCGGCGCATTACGTGTTCATGAATTCGGGCGAGAGAATCCGGAGTAGACGGGTCGTATACCTTGGCCGGATGGGTGTGGCCTTCCACTTGTGTGGCTCGATGAGCAGTCACGGGCCGTTTGTCTAGCTCTTCGGTACCCGTGTGGTGTTCTTGCATGCTGGGGTCTGAGTTTGGCTGACCATGCTGATAAGTACCGACAGCTCTAGAAGAAAAGAACATAGGAGAAGCTAAGGCAGTTCCCCGATGAAAAGTATATGATTTGATTTCCGGTGGGTGGACCGAAAGGGGGCGTCTAGGGAGTTCCATATTGCCGGGGGCTACAGCTGTGCTTAACGCAACCTTGGCTTCAGCGCGTTTATCGGCACAACCAAACAATCCACGATCTACCGACCGTGATCGGGATGATTCATCCGTCGAATCGATATCTCGGGTCTTCCGCAAGACAGTAATTGGATCATCTCTAATGCAAGTTTCAAGTGCAGGAGAATTCGGCATGGTATGCGCGTCTCTTCCAGGTGCGAGAGCAAGGATTGCATTGGTTATCGATCTTGTCCGACCGTGACCGTGACCGTGACTCAAATGGCCCTTGATTGACGAGAAAGAAGTCGATGTCGACGGCGGTCCTGCCAGATCTGATTGCGCGTTAAAATCGTTGATAGAGCCGCTTAGATTGCGTCTAAAATCTCCGCCTACCGAAACCGACCCACGTTGGGTAGAATGTGGTCCATCGTGGACCGGAGACTCCTGAGGAGTTGCACTAACACTTTGTGATAGGGGGTGCTCACTTTCTCGAACCGTAGCAAAATAATCATCGGGGCGTAAACTCTTCCGGCGAGCGTCTCGGATGTGTGTTGTCGATCCTATAGTCGAAGGTGCATCTCCTGCGGAACTGGCAGCACTGCTAGCTGCCCTTCTCCTCGAGTGGCCTTCCGTCCTCTCAGTACGCGGGTGCATAACCTTGCCGATAGTTTTCTTCACAACCGAGCGAGCCCTTTCCAGAAACGTAAGAGGGACGACAGCGCGAGTGATTTCTCGTTCGTCGACCTCGATTTTGCGACCAGAAGTGCGACGCGAAGGGTCTGTCTCGTCAATCCATGCCATGAGGTTAGGAATGCCTTGCACAACCCAAGGATGGCGCTTTACTTCCCTTAACCGTATCCTTTTCTCCGGATTCTTGGTTAGCATCCGATGCAAAAGGTCGTATAGCAAATCGTCAATCTCTTCATACGCGAGGACACTATCATCGCGGTACGGCTCGCTGTTAACACGTTTGTAAAAAGACATAGACGATGGGGAATGCTGAGGATCGACCGGCTTAAGTCGGCGGCGTGGGATATATACATCCTCCTTAGCGATCTTGTGAAACATCTGGAATTCATCCTCGGCCATGAATGGGATGCGGGCGTAGATTAGGCAGTAGAGCGTCACTCCTAGAGACCATACGTCAATTTGTTCCGAGATTTTCGGTTGTTCTTCGCTTATGTCCGTATAACATAGCTCCGGTGCAAAGAAGGCAGGTGTGCCAACGGTCTTGGCTAATTCAAGATCGTCATCGAAGTCGCGAGCCTCGGATTCTGATACGAGCTCATCGGGTTCACCCTCACGAATCGGTCGGCCAAAATAGGAAACACCGAAGTCGGAAATTTTTACCCTGTGGTCTCGAGTCCATAAGAGATTGGCCGGCTTGATATCACGATGGACTACTCCTTCGTAGTGTAAATATTCTAATCCCAGCACAGTGTCCCTGAAAGTAGCACGGGCATTATCGATTGTGAAACAAGGAACATAGGAATAGTCATCGGCGAAGGGATCATGCGGTTGTTGATTACAATCAACCGATGACATATGGGAGATGATGGAGTCGGCCATACTCGGAGATCGACCACGAAACATAGCATCCTCAGGGAACGCCGAATTGATGGTCCTATCTAGTGCAGCCGATGATCCGGGATGGGAACGCAAGGGCCCAGGAGTCTCGACGTCGCTTTCGCCGCCTACACCAACCGAGGAGGCATCGTATTCCGACGGTAATGGTGTACCCGCGAGAGACCCTGAAGGTGCAGATTGAGCGTGCGAACGAGTCGGAGATGTGGCTCTTGATCCAGTCCTAGACGAAGCTATTCTGTTTGAACGGATAAGCTCGCTTTCTGCTCTTCCCAAGGAGCGCGGTTGGCCCTCGGAGTCGTCATCGTTTGCGGCGCCGTACTCGATACTCCAAAAATCATCCGGGCCCTTCTGAGTCTGCATCATCTTTGCCCTTTTCACATCATTGAGAGCCTGCCGTTTTTCTAGAAGCTGAATATAGCGTTCTTCTTCTTCGGTACTCAGTTCCCCTCGGACTTCTTTCTCAATCCTTCGTCTCTCAATACTACAAATGTACGGTAATCCCTTCTTCCGCCAGACGACTTCTCCTAGTTCGACATGTTCTAAGACCATGTAGATCTTCTTCAACTCCGGATCGTCGATGATTTCGAGAAGGGCGACGACATTAGGATGGCGGATCTTTTTCAGTATAGCAATCTCTCGTTTCGTCTTGTCCTGGGGGGACGCAGTAACTTTCCCCAGGCGGCGCTTCTTAGAGAACCTGGGGATGATCTTGATCGCAACATTCTCGCCAGTCTCCAAGTTTCGGGCTAGTTTCACTTTGCCGTGTACGCCCCGGCCAAGTTCTTCTATCACTTCGTATTGATTGATGATCTTTCGTCCTGTCATTAGGTTCAAGTCAACGAGGGCTTTGTGTGTCCTATATTCGCCAATATTAGTTAGCCAAACGCGAATTAGACGAAACGCCCGAACAAATATCCCAATCGGAGACCGAGCTCGGCCTCTCTTCGGCTTCAACGCTCATAATCCGATTCTAAGTAATACCAATCCGTGATGTTCTATATGTCAGTCATGCTAGACTTACTCTCGGACTCTATGATTCTGCAGCGGGTGCAGATAGGGACTAGCCGTGGTAGCCATCGGCGTAGAAGCCTCGGATGCGGAATGGGGGAAGAAGGCATTGGGACGAGTGTTCGTAGGGCTGAACAGGCCCGGGGAGGAAGTCGGGGTACTATTCGCAGTCCTAGGAGGAACGGAAGAGAAGGGTGGATTATTGTCGGTAAGGAGTTGACGAGGTTGGTTCGGTTGCTGCGGATCCATGGCGGCAAGAGGATGTAGGTGGCTTAGGAAGTATTGTGGTCATCATTCTGGGTGAATATCGAAGCATGTCGTCGCTTGGTCCTAGCGGACAGGAGGCGGGGATGATAACCGAATTTCAAGAAGCCATTACCGTGGGGAATTGAATTGGGTAGTACACACAACTGACAGGCGAGAGGAAGCTAGAGGATAAATTGGATCTCGATGACACTAGGTTAACTGATTCGTAGTGGGCAGTTGGTCTTGTCACGCAAGTTCGTCGTCGGTCAAAAAAGGAAAAGGGAAAAAAAGAAAAAAGCTAAGTCCAAGAAAGAAAAAAGGGAAATAGAAAGAATTGTAATG